GTGGTACTAAGGGGGGGTGAAGGGGGAGTGAAGCTAGGGGTGAAGCAACGGGTGTGTGTCAGGGGGGTGGGACTGTTTGGGGAGGCTGAGAGGAGGCTACCGTCTTGTCGTCCACAGCACCTGTAGTCCGGGGCGCTGTTCTGGTAGCCCAGAGAGCCTGCTGCGCCTGTCGCCCGTGGGTCCGTTGCTCCTGTAGCTCTTCTTAGCCCGTGAGCCAGTTACTCTTGTAGTCTGGGGCGCTGTCCCGGTAGCCACTGTGCCAGCCGCTCCTGTTGCCCGTGTGCCTGCAGCTTCAACCCTCCTCGCTTGCCTGCTGTGACTACCACTAGCTTTGCTCATAATTGTGAACTTTAAACTATTGCTTCTTGAACTTGTGCTCAGAATGTGTGGTGACATTGTGATCCACCCTGAGCTTGTTCTGCTTTGCTTGCTCTCCTGATTACACCCCACTTTGGTTATGGGGGTGTGTCAGAATGTTATGCTCTAGCCTGTAGTGGGGTGCTCTATAGTGAGTACAACCCTTCTAGGGTTTGCTATTTGTATCCTCATTCTTGCTAGTGCAGCCCTCTTCTTTCTTCTAAACTTTGACAGGTAGTTGTCCTGCCAGTCCGGCGTCTTGAGCATGGCTGTGAGTCTCGCGTGGAAGCTGCGGTCGCCCTTGGTAGAGGCTGCAAGCACCGAGGTAAACATGCGCAGCTCCTTCTCTACACGGTGCTTGTTGACTCCTGGCGGGATTGGGTAAACAGAATAGAATGAGTAAACAAACACAAACCACAATAGAACATCTTTGAATGATTAATCAAACACATCGACTGAATCATCGCATAGTACACAAGCAGAGCAACGAAGCAAGATGATAAGGCATACCTGGCACAATCTCCTCCGTCAGGTCGGCCTTGAACAAGGTGACCAGCGACTGTAGCCACTGAAGGCACCGCCGTTTCCTCTCGGCACGATCCAGTGGGTACTCGTCTGGCAGGAACAGCTTCACCCCGGACATCCCATCCAGGTCGCCTAGCCGATGCTCGAGCTAGTGAACAATCACCTCCGCGAACTCCGTGCAGAGTGCCACGCAGTCGTCATGGCTCCCGGGCCCTGCGAACTCCTCCAGCTCGTCCTCATGTAGCGTGAACTTGAAGCGTGCTGGACGGCCGTCCGAGTCAACGCCTTCAACTTTCACCTCCCAGTTTCCTCCTGGCCCATGGCACGCGATGAAGGGGGACAGCCGCTCGCTCACCCCGCCACCGAAGTCGTCGCCGCAATCAACATAGTGGCTCTCGATGTGGGAGGTTGTGCGCTTGATCTGCGCATGCACGGTGGGATAGTCAAGCTGGGCAGGAAACAAAAAAATCGGTAGTTAATGGTTGATCAGGGTTAACAAACATGAACACACGTACAAGTGGCGACAAGCAACAATACATTAACAGACAACTATGGCCAACCTCACCTCCTTTTGCTGGAACACCCGGTTCAGGATGTTGAGCTGCTCCAGCACGTCAGCAATGAAGAAGAGAAGGAAATGGAACCTGTAACTAGTAACCAAAGCATAGAGGTTAGTGTCCCACTCCTTAAGCATCACGATGAGTGCCGGAAGCACCGCGACAAGCCTGAGCACTGCGTCGCCCCGCGAAAGCCACCGGAAGGAATGAATGCCCTGGAGCTCAAGAGAGGTTGACGCGAAGACTTCCTGGAGCCCCATGAACCGTTGATGCCAGGGGCCCGAACGGCCGAGATGCTCTGCCACGGTGCGAATCACCGAGTTAATGACATTGAACGCCGAAACCTTCTTGGCAGCCGTTTTGGCCGCGAGTGCCTCCCTGTACACAAGATGCAAACATCATTAATACATCAGGAAACCAAACAATCGTAAAGACGCTAAATAGGTAACTAATGAAAAACATATACATACATACTTACATACATGTGCGCGATACAGTGGGATGACACCAGGTGGGGGATGCGCAGTCGAAGGCGTGTGGTGAGGCCGGAATTGCTGCCCATCATGACGTTGGCACCGTCGGTGCTGATCCCCGCTTTGCGCTGAAGGTCGACCCCGACAGCCTGCAGGTGTGACAACAGAACACTGAGGAGGGAAGCTGCATCGGCCTTCTCCACGGTAAGAAGAGTCATGAACTCCGTGACAAGCATGTTGTCACGGATGAAAGATATGAGGAGGATCAGGTGCTTCCCGCTGCACCTATCCGTGCTCTCGTCAATAGCGATGCCGACGAAGGGCGACGCCAGCACGTGTTCCAGCTGGGTTGTCTGGAGCCATGTCGTAGTCGCTTGCGTCAACTCCCCGAAACCGTACCTGCATGCACAACGAAACACTCAAATTAACCTTTGGACTAAACATTGACACAACAAAATGCATCAAATAACTTCGGGCAATTGCATTCACGTGGTGTAGTAGGTGCCGTATCCCTTCTTCGGGAAGCCAGGCACGCCCTTCTCCGCCATGTAACGCACAAGCTTCACCCACATCCCCATCGGCGCATCGGACCTGCTGATGAACAGCAAGGAGTCGAGAAGGGCGACGACACGCGACTGCTCTCCGTCCACGGTGGCGCGATGCTGGTCGATCTGCGGCTACCTCGCTTCGCACTCCTGCACAGCTGTTTGTCTCGTCATCGCCAGCTTGTGCTTAGCCGTGCCCGCGTGCTTACGGAACGACTGGGTCTGCAAGTCCGTGGCTCCTTTCCCGCGTCTCCCGCACTTGCCTCCATCGCCAGCATAAGCTACACACACAATACACTTGAAGGCAGGCAAGCCGGATGTGGTTTTGGTGATTTGCAGCCAAGGAAACCGCGTTTGCCATTGACTCTTGAACCTGTCAATGGCATCATCGTACAGCCCTTCAATGAGCTCCTCCAGGTTTATGGTGAGGCGAGGTCGCAGACGTTCAGACGAGCCTGGATTATTGTTGACCTTTGCAGTCGAGGATGAAGGCCTGGCGAAGCTCAATGTCGCCTGCTTGAGCCGGACGGGTCGCGTCGTAGTCTGAGCGGGATGGTGCGATGCCGAAACAACCGTTGGTTCCACAGGTGTCTCTGCCACAGGGTCGGGACTTGAGATCACGGGTGCTGAAGGTTCCTTCAAGGTGGGGATACAATCGGGCTCGGCGCGTGCTACCTTCTCGAGAGCTAGGTGACTGAGCAAAAAATCCAAGCCTGTTAACGCAGGCTGCGAATCAGTGTCGTCGTCATTGGAGGTAGCGGGATTGTCGGGCTGAGCCATGGCAAAGAGTTGAGAGAGCCTGCCGAGCAGGTACGAGAGGCGGTTCTGAGGCTACTTAACTGGGCAGTGGAGGGGCCCCCTAAATTGAAGCTGACTTGAGGGATGGGGATGAAACCCTAGCTCGTAGAGCTGTGGTTGCCTAGCATGCACGGCAACGACGAGGCGCGTCTGCCGTGCACGATGCTACCAAAGGGACCAATTAACGGGTGTTCTTGGCAACGTCTGCTTGCCATCACCTTTACGTGGGTGGCAACTGCTGCAGCGTTGTGGACACTGGTGGTGGTGGGGTTCGTGATGGCAGTCAAAAGCTGCCAAACGGACCAATCAATGCTCTAACAGAGTGTGTGCTGGAGCTTACAGCGTGGGAAACATCGCGCCGCAGGGCGGGGGAATCATCCAGCTGTACGAGGGAAACACCGCGCCTCAGGGCGGCGTCGCCTACAGAACTTGACAGTTGGCACAGATTTCGCGTGATTGACTGCATAGGTACAATGTACCACTGGTAATCCTGGGTGTCGGTGCACAGGTAGTTACAATCAGAGTCGGTACTCGTTTGTACTCGGAATTCCTCAGAGTACACTCCCAGGAAACTCTGAAATCTCAGAGTCAGCATATAAAGAAAATCTGATTTTTACAGAGTTGAGGCCAAAAAAACTCTGAATTTCACAGAGTACACCCAAAAAAATATCTGAAATCTCAGACTTTTCCAAGCAAATCAGACAAATTTCTCTGACTTCTGAGGGCCTGTTCTCTTGATACGAGGTTAGGATTCAGGAATACGCTCTTAGTAGATTGTGAACCAATGTAAACCATCATGAAGCGTTGGTCCCCGTTTAGATCATGTAATGGAGGTAAGGTTTACGAGTGCAATCTAGCGAGCAAGCGAGAATTGCACAATCGAAGCAAAATAGTACATCGGGCGAAGGTATGAACGAAGAATATATAGCGTAGCTGGCGCGGTAACAGTAATGCGAGAATTTGGGGTGCGCTACTGGCCTCGCGCCGAGGTTGGGAAATGTCGAGGCGGAGGTCCGGAGCGCGTGTTACCAACCGAGCTGTGAGGTTGTGTCGTGTCGCGAACAGTGGCGGGAACAGTTGTTAGAACAGTGGTCGATCTCTAGTGGTAACGGTGCACTGTTGGGAACTGTTGGCGGGAACAGTCGTGTATGCGATAAGCAGGGGCGCGAAGTAAGGAAAATATATAAACTAGGTATGGTACGTTATTTGTTGCCATTAGAAGTTGTTATCCAGGCCATCTGCTTTCACTCATATGCCAGATATACCAAACCCAACTAATATATGTTGATATGTCATACTCTGGTGGGGCGTTGCTCTGTGGTGTGAGGTTGTAGGGGAGGAAGAAGGGATGTGATCATCCTTTGTAGCGTCAGCGGAAAGTAGAGAACACCCGATTTCATGCTTCTAAATAGACCAACTCGCCGAAACGTCATGGCTGAGAGCATTTCACAGGAGATGGTCGTTGGCTCCATATTCGGGTTTAGTGCTTGATCTAACATTATATGGAACCATGGCAATCGACTACAAAGGTACTATACAATCAGAGCGCATGCTATCTGACCACTAAAAATCCGTGAAAAGCAAGGGAGTTCCTTCAACCCTCGTAGTTGGCGTCGGCGAAATTCCCCTAATCCTTATCCCACCAGCAGTTTCAGACACGTTTTGCAAGGCAGCCTTATCCAGCAGTTCACCCACTTTGCAGCACCGTTTCTCAATATATAACATTGTAGTCACCCGTCTCGTCTCTACACGGTTGCGCCGTCCGCGGGCTTGGGCTGCTCCTGCTCGTAGTACACGTCATTCTCTTCGTAGTGGCGTTTGAAGAGCCAGTAGGCGAGGAAGCCGATGCCTCCGAGCAGAAGAACGCTTGAGATGATCAGCGGGATGACAATCGCCCACCTTGGCCCTGACCAATGAATGTCGGTGTGGGGTAGAGGGGAGGTTAGATGGAAGCACGACGCAGCGTGGCATTCATGCCGTTTTATGTGGAAGGAGGAGGTCGTGCCGCATATCTTTTGTAGCTTGTAGCACACAACTGTTGAGAAATGAGATCCGTACTGCAAGGTTGAAGCTGAAATGGTAAGAAAACACGAGGTGTGCTGCAGGTGATAAAATGCAACTTTCAAGGTTGAGAGGCACTCACGATATGTCACTTCCCATACTTGTCCGTTCTGGTCAACCACAAAGCCTGCCAGAACACTTTGACAGGCCAGCAGCAGCAGCAGAAGGGATAGGACAAGACGACGGGGAAGGCCAGTATCCATGGGAAACCAGTGGGCCTGGGTAAAGTTGGGAGAGTGCGCGAAGCTTGTGATTCATCTAATGGAAGAAGAAACTAGCAAAAACTGCGTACGGCTTTTCTTTTTCCGAACTGAACGTCAGTTATGATGGGATATTTTATCTTGGTGGGTGGGAGGTGTCTTGCGTGTGACGACAGCTCGCCAGTGCTGGTGGGGCGGAGGGGAGTAAATAATGGTGTGGTGGTTTCATGCAGGACTTGGCGGATTTTGACTGCGCTTCGGGTACCAGGAAGTCGCGCTTCGTCGCTGGGACCCAATTTCGAAGTGAAGCGCCAGTTGCGCTGGGCTTGCGTTTGGCATTATTGGGGAAAGCGTCATCTGTATGCATAACAATCTGTTTCTTTCGTACTTACAGAATTTATATGCATTGGACATTGTGTCATATATGCATTTATTTACACAACTAGCATGAACCGTCCGACTTGTATTCTTCTTCCATGTTAAAATCGACAAATAAAATGATGTGATCGATAAAATCCCAATATGAAGTACCCGGTACAAGGGAAATCAATATTTGCATGGATATTTGCTATTCGTATAATAGTAGGAAGGCGTAGCAATTACGAACAGGAATAATCAGCTCATCAAGGCATACATAAAAAAAAAAAGCATACATCCTCTATGGTTTTATTAAACATAGCCTACAACATACACATCTGGAACATATATGCGTATTTTGATATACCCCATCGGTTAAGTAAGGAGAAGTTCCTAAAATGATGAGAATTGACTCAAGGCGACACTACCAGTCTAAACTCTGGGCGAAAGGGCCACAAGCCTAACCAGGAAAATAACAAGGCGTATGAGGTGCAAGACAGGGCGGTCCTACTAGGACAGCGTTCTAGACGAAGGGTCACAAGGCTAATCAGTGATTATAGTGTACATAGATCAAGATCTAACAAGTGAGATCCTACTAAAACAAGCTCAAGCTGTATAAAGAGCCGTTGGTCATCACGATGCATGAGCATTTTAGTAAAGATATCAACAATGGTCGTTAAGGCCAATGTACTATAATTGCCTGGCCGTACTGCTGCTGCTCACGTAGCATGGAGTAGTGCAACTAGATATGTTTCGCTCCGCTCTCTTGTCTAGGTTCCTGATACAGGAAGATCCTGGCCATGCAATCGGCGTACAGGACCGGTAGGCGGCTCACTAAAATCGGTGAGTAAGAACGTTCGCCTGTGTGGCTCCTGGGCAGCCTTAGCACCAACATAGATCGCTGCCTCACAGCTGCACTGTGCCACCGACAACAAGCAAGTGGATGCTTATAACAACTCTGGCACCAAGGCCAAAGTAGTAGCCCTGAGAGGACCTGAGATTCTCAATGTCGTCTACCCACGACCCGTCAGTGTGCCCCGTGAGAGCAGCTGGCTGTCATTCTTCGAGCACACGCCCCACGCCTAATGAAGTAGCCGGTTAGCACGATAACCTCTTGGCAGGCGACCAGTGCTCATGTCAGTGTATCCCACTCCCAACAAAGCGATCAAGGATGCTAAGAGGATATGCGAGATGTGGGAAAATGCATGTCATCATGTACATGAGGCACCCAACCAGCTCTGTGTGCTTACCAATGGGCTCAAACGGCTCGTCAAAGATAGGCACCGAGAGGGTATGTCATAGAATACTAAGCTATGAAGAGGTAGAGTGAAGGCTGAAACGCTTGAGGATCTGTTGCACCATGCATAACCCAGTGATAGTGATGGTGCACTCTGCTCCGTTCCTAATTATCTGCAGGCCAAGATATCGGTGTGTCTCGTCAATAACTAGTCCTTAACTAAGGCTAGTGCGACTCTGTCTGTAGTAGCAAATACAAGGTGTTTCAGTACCCTCTGTACTTGCATTGCCTCCTCTACTGTCCCTTGATGTCTCCTCTCCTACGTTTTCTGACTTTTCCGTGCCGCTCGCCCTACGATCTCCTTTGTCCTTTCCTGCCAGCCACCTCCCTACTCCTCTTCCGTCGAGCTCGGCTCTTGCCACTCGTGTCGCTAACTTTGCACCGACCTAGGTGAGTTGCTCCATCTGGGCCAGTAGGTCACTAGGAACAAAGTAGTGCTGACCATCATGTCAAACTATAATCATGCTTGTACTGGGTAGGCTATAGTGGGGTAGCCCATAAGGGGTACAACCCAAAATTGGGTTAGCATATGTACCCACATCTCTGTTCAATGCATCATTCCTGTTGCTAGATTCTAACATGGTATCGTTCGCACTGGTGCTCGGACTGGTCAGGCTTGCGGGATGCTCAGTCACACACAGTCCCGCTGCTTCGCCCGTCTGAGCGACGCCTGGCGTACCGAGTTTGGCGACGAGGCTGAGCTCCCCGACTGGGTGGAGCTACTTGGGCAGAGGATAGATATATTTGCTCTTGACTATGATGCTATTCTCACTGCCATGTATGCATTGCCTACTAGTGCTGACCGTGCCTGTTACCTGTGCGTACCGCCTGACCCAGGTATAGAGCCTGCTGCTCTAGGTGCTGGTGAGGCTGCTGCTCTAGGGGCTAGTGAGTCTCCTGCTCTAGTAACTGGTGAGGCTACTGCTCCAGGTGCTGGTGAGTCTACTCTCTCTGGTACTGCGCCTGCTGAGGCCTTGTACACCTTCACACTTGACTCTAGTGCTTCTCGCTCCTTCTTTCGCGACAGCACCACCCTCACGCCGCTTAGTCGGCCGGTTCCCGTCTCCCTGGCAGACCCCTCTGGGGGTCCAGTCTGTGCGACCTCCTCCACTGTCCTCCCTTGTCCTGCTGTCCCGTCCGGCACACTGATGGGTCTTTACCTCCCCTCGTTCTCTACGAACTTGGTGGCGGGTTCTGCGCTCCAGGACGCGGGTGTTCACCAGTTCACCCCTGCCTACGAGCGTCTGACATACTGCACGTGTGCTCAGACGAGTCGTCACCTGGCTACCTTCACTCGGCAGCCGGGGTCGGGCCTGTACACACTGAACACTGAGTCCCCTCAGATAGCTGCGTCTGCGTCAGGTCAGTTGTCGCCCCCCTGCTCGTGTCGTGCCTTGTCGCACCAGACCCTCCTTTGGCACCACCGCCTTGGTCACCCCTTGGTGCAGCGCCTTCGCAGCATGCACCGCCGTGTCCTTGTCTCTGGTCTTCCCAGGGTTCTCCCTCCCCTGCCACCCTCGCCTGCTCCTCCCTGTCTTCCCTATGTCGAGGGGCGGCAGCGCGCCGCTCCTCACTCCTCCTCAATCCTTCCCACAGAGGCTCCCCTGCAGACTCTCCACCTGGACGTGTGGGGCCCAGCCCGCGTTCGTGGACAGGGCCACGAGCGGTACTTCCTACTGGTCGTCGACGACGACTACACGCGTTACACCACGGTCTTCCCCTTGCGCACCAAGGGTGAGGTCCCTGATGTTTTGATCCCTACGATCCGCGCTACTCGTCTCCAGCTCCGCGAGCGGTTCGGGACGGAGTTTCCCGTCCTGCGTCTGCACTCTGACAGAGGTGGTGAGTTTTCCTCCGACCTCTTGGCAGCCTTCTGTGAGGAGCACGGCATCACCCAGTCGTTCACGCTTCTGGCCTCTCCGCAACAAAATGGGGTTGCTGAGTGCCGCATTGGCTTAGTCATGGAGGTCGCTCGTACCTCCATGATCCATGCGGCTGCCCCCCATTTTCTGTGGCCGTTTGCGGTCCGGTACGCCGCGCATCAGCTGAACCTCTGGCCCCGTGTCTCCTTGCCGGAGACCTCGCCCACACTGCTGTGGACGGGGAAGGTTGGCAATGCGTCACGTTTCCGGGTCTGGGGTGCTCGTGCCTTTGTCCGCGATACTACTGCGGACAAGCTTTCCGCCCGCGCTGTTCTCTGTGTCTTCCTTGGCTTTGTCCCTGACGCGCCTAGTTGGCAGATTTACCACCCCACCTCGCGCCGTGTCTTCCCCTCTCAGGACGTCACGTTCGACGAGTCGGTTCCCTTTTACCGTCTCTTCCCCTACCGCACTCCCCCTCTCCCCCCCCCGTCGCTCTTCCTCGCTCCAGGTTCTCCCCAGGTAGACCCCCTCCCCACTCCTGGTCCTCCTCCTTCAGGTGTGTCTCAGGTAGACCCTCCTCTCTTGCCTGCGCCGGTTGAGGTCACTGGTGACTCAGGTCCTGCTGAGGGTGGTCCTGCTCGGGGTGCTGCTACTGGGGGTGCTGAGCCTTGGGGTGCGGATCCTGGGGGTGCTGAGCCTGGGGGTGCGGAGCCTGGGGGTGCTGAGCATGGGGGTGCGGAGCCTAGAGGTGTGGAGCCTGGGGGTGCGGAGACTGGAGGTGCTGAGTCTAGGCGTGAGGAGTCTTGGGGTGCTGAGCCTGGGGATACTAAGTCTGGGGGTGCTGCACCTGGGAGCGCTGAGGCGTCTGGTGAGCACTCTCCCTGGGGCGGCCGTCTCCGTAGTCGCTCCGCTGGTACCTCACCGCTGCACTCTCGTAGTCGACTCCCTCTCTCCCCACAGCAGCTGCGTGAGTGGTATGTTGGCCGTCAGGGTTGCGCTGCTGGAGCTAGGGGCCCTGCTGCGGGAGGCGCTGGAGCCGGTGACTCTGCTACTGGAGTTGTTTCTGCTGGAGGTTCAGGAGGTGCTGAGGGTGCTGGAGCTGGAGGTTCTGGAGCTGCTGAGGGTACTGGTGCTGGAGGTCCTAGAGCTGCTGCGGGTGATGGTGCTGAGGGTTCTGAGTCTGCTATTGTGCGGTCTCCTTGGAGTAGCCGCCTTCGTCCGCGTGTGCCTCTCACCTCTCAGCAGCTGCACGACTGGTACGGTCGCCGTCAGGGTCGCGCTTCTAGAGCTCGGCGCTCTGCCGTTGGAGGTACTTCTGCTGCCGTCACTGGAGCTGGGAGTGGTGCTGGTCCCGGAGGTGCTCGTACTGGAGGTACTGGAGCTGCTGGGGGTGGAGGTGCTGAGCCTGAGGGTGCTACTGCTGGAGACCCTGGGTCTAGGGGTGGTGCTGCTGGTGACACTGAGGCTGGGGACCCTAGGACTGGAGG